GCCCGGATGCGACCGGATAACCGCTTGATTCCTTCTGAAGTCTAGGTTTCGACCATATAAGAAGTAAAGTATTGTGAAGCCTAGATTACGACCAGATAACAGTACAAAACACCGTGAAGCCTGAATTCGACCAGATAATGGTATAACACATCGTGAAGCCTGGATTATGACCGAATAGCGGTACAAGACACTGTGAAGCTTATATTTCGAACAAATAGCAGTTTACCTGGACAAATACTAAGAAGCCCGGAGTCGACCGGATATTAGTGTGCCCTAAATTCAAGTTAAAGCCCGGATGCGACCGGATAACAACTGAATTCATTTTGAAGCCTGGATTGCGACCAGATAAGAATCGAGAAATTGAGAAGCCTGGATTACGACCAAATAGCAAGTTTAATCTCATCTCCCCAGTAAGTCACTGTAAAGCCTGGATTACGACCAGATAACAGCCGATCTTATCAATATGAAGCATGGATCACGACCAGATAGTAGTTCTTTTTCACCTCTTCGACCAAGATACAATTCACCAGTAGAATAAAGGATGATCGAAGCTCCTAAAATTCTATTTCTCTCAAAGACAGAGATCAGCATTCCCCAGCAGAATCTTCCTCAACAACAGGTACACAAGCTCTCGCTAAGGAATCTCTTATGTGATCGACACTCCTTCAGATGGCATCTTTAAGCCCATCTCCCATCATCAATCTCCAAATGGCATCTTTATGCCCATTCCTGACATCACAAGACAAATACCACTTCATACGAGTACAAATTTATGGGCACTCTAGTGTTCAATCATCTTCAACCCTCAGATCACGAAAGGCAGACAAGCCAATATAAATCTTCAGGTTTAAGAAGATTAAACAGGGGAAGCTGTTGTACCCCAAAATTTTCCCTTCCATATTTCTCAAAACATTTCAAGTGAGGTCCTCAAGATGCTTAAGGAAGTCCAAGGGTTGACCAGACAAGCTCTCTCCTAAGGCAGTCTACCTCAAATTAGGGTTTCATGTTGCATCAAGATACTTGAGTCCAAGGGATCCCAAATTCTCACCATTGTCCTAATATCTTCTCAATATCATCCATATCAAGTTTCAAGCTTTGCAGAGAAAGTTTGCTCAGTCAATTGCTCAAAGGCCTGGAAATCGACTATGCTAGGGCAAAAGTCAATTGTGGCCTACATACAGTCAAACTTCAAGATTTTTGGTCAACATCCTCATTTTGAAGTATATTTCATCATTTGATCAAGGGTTTAACATTATTTATCAAGGATTGCTTATAATTCATCAAGAACCAAAAGTTGTTAAATTAGGGTTTTGTAGGAAAAGTCAACTCAACTTTGACCAAGCATAACTTTCTCATACTTTATGAGAAATGACCCATCCAAAGCTCATTTTTAAGAGAATGTAATGATATACAATCCATCTTCAGCTCCAAAGTTCAAAATATGCACCCACAAGAAGTTGTGAATTTGGAAATTATAGGTCATTTTGAAAAGTCAACAAAAACACCTTTTTTGTAAAAGCTTCATACATGAGCATGGAATATCAAATTAAGATGAGACAAAAAGGGTTGCTTAGAGAACATCTCAAGCTTTCTAAAAAGTCCAAGAACACCTTCAAAGAGTCAAAATTGAGGAAGTTGTGCATTGGTGAAGTTGACCTTTTTTGCAAAATTGTCAAAAGTCAACTATGCCTAAAACTTCAAATTTTGCCAAATGGACCCAATATTTTGCACTTGTTTTGAGTTGGCAACATGGCCCATGAGCCCTAGCCTTTGCCAATTGTCATTATCTTGTTTTTATTATTTATTTTGATTTTTATTTGAATAAAATCAATTTAAATCAAAACAAATCATAGAAAATCCAAAATATTGAAAACTCAAGATTTTTACATGTTTCAGGTATTAATGTCCAGCTAGCATCAGATCAAATTCGTGTAAAGGCATGAGGTGCACAAAAAGATTGGATTTGGACTATTTTTGGAAGGGTTTTCAAGTGTATCAAATCAAAATCAGAAGCATTGATGGAAGAAGATTGTGATCATTCTTTCAACCCTAATTCATTCCTCAGTACATAAGGATGATTTGTAGACCAAAAGAAAAGTTAGAGAAAGAGGCGCAACATTAAGAACAAAACTTGAAAAAACACCAAAAAAGTGCAAACTCGAATTCATTGTTCCAAGCAATTTCAAAGCTTCCTGATCATTCCAATCATTTCCTGAGATTATAAGCAACATATACCAATCAAGAACAAGCGTTTCCAGGCCCTGAATACCACTGTAAGTCAACCACGACATCCATGTATTTTGAAATCGGTTTGCATGATTTAGACATTGATAGCATGAATTAATGATATATTCTTGATCCATAGAAAATTTGCAAGCTTTATGTATCGTTTAATTTCATTTTCATGGCCTGTATAAGATTTCACCATTGTTAGGGTTTGTAGCTTCAAATTGGGATCTTGATGTACAGATGAAATTGGGCCACGATTAGGGTACCATGAAGTTCGTGGGACTGACACGAATGGATTGGTACCATCACCATTGATTTATTGTGCTTGTACATTATTTTTGATATGCCCAGGGTTTTAGCTACGGAGAGTGTCCGTTGGTATAGGTCTGTTGTCTAAAACAACAGATCCTTGGAGAAGATGAAGACGTGGCAGACAATCATTCGCATATTTGAATTTCGCGCGTTTTGGACTTAGCATTTTTTGCTTTTCATATATTATCATTATCATTTATTGTATATACAAACAAGAACAAATGGCACAGTGGTAGTGGAGTATGTGCAAAACTCTTCAGGACCTGGGTTCGAATCCCAGGTCCCCCCTTTCTTTCATATATTTTGCCTTTTCAGGATCCAGCGTATACACAAGCCAAGGGACTACCATAGACCTCACCATCCAATCTGCCAAGTGGCCAGATGGCCAAATCTGATGGCCATCATCTGAAGGACCATAGTACGCCTAGTCAACGCATGGCAGGAGATCATGGAATGTCAAACATACCTCTTTGCTTCTTGGGCCCAGATTGCTTCTCACCCCCCCCCCCCCCCTCAATTTGCTTGCAGGCCCAAGTTTCTTATTCCTTTTCTTTTGATATTTAATTTAATTTATTTATTTGTTTTATTTACAAACACAATTAATTATTTTCTTTTATCAAAAAAATCATAAAAATAATACTTTTCACAAATTAGGTTTAGATTTTATTTTTTATCAAAAAAATTAATTAATTAAATTAGATTTAAATTTTAGGTAAACTTTAATTTCTTTTTGCAAATAATTTAAAATCAATTAGAATAATTAGGGTTTTATTTCTAATTTATTTTTATTTTCTTTTCCTAAAAATAACCAAAACATAAAAATAGGCCATTTATTTATTTTCATTAATTAATTTAATTAACTAATTAATTTGTATATTTAATTTTAAAACCTAATCCTTTTTTATAAAAATAACCAAAAAACAATTTTTCTTTTGATTAGGTTAGAAAGGGTCAAAACCCTAATTACTTCCCGATCTTAATTTCATCATGCGCTTTATTATCTTATTTTTACCCTATTATTGTAACTGCTCACAAGTTGTAATAGTTAATCAGGACTTTTATTTTCATTTACCGCTTTATTATTTAAGGGTTTGTTTTTGGCTATGTAAATACCCGAAGCCTTGTAATACGTAGTTTAATTTCCGCACTTTTAACTCTTCAAATATTTGACTGTTAGATGTATGATATATGGATGCATGACAAGAATGTATGTAAAAATTTAAAACGGTTAGATAACCCTAAAATGTGCAAAGATAAATAATCTGAAATTGAATCACTCGTACATGCGCACTCCTATGGTACACTCCCACTTGGTTGCCTTTGGTAAACGGGCATTGAGTGTAGGGTGTTTTAGTGGTCGTCCTTTTGTCCAAAGATCAAATTTTCCTCGGAAAGTTTGCCTCGGATATCGTTGCCTCGGATAATTGATCTAAGACATTAGGGTTACTACTAAGACGTCCTAACGTTGCTTTAGTGACCGTACGTCCCTTTCAAATTGACCCTCAAACTCCAACGATGATGCTACCTACTCACTAATAGTGGGATAGCACTGTCTAAAGGAAATGAACATAGAACGATTCTTTTTTCGAGTAGGTAGATTAGTTCTTAAGTACTTGCTCAATCAAAACAAACGTTTTCACACTTACACTCCTTTTCAAACAAAGTTTTCAAAAACACTTCATTACACTCTTGAAGACAGAAGCAAAAGTTAAATTGAAGTCAAAACAAAAACTTTTCAAATCACACAAACACACAAAGAAGCAATTTTGAAAATGATGAGCAAGTACCTAAGAGCCCGTAGATAACTACAGATAGAAAGGGTGCTAATACCTTCCCTTTCTATAATCTACCCCCCGTACTCAGAAATATCTCAAAAAAGGAATTTTTCTGTGCTTTTTTCCTTTCCTTGTTGGATAAAATAAAAGTCGGTGGCGACTCTTGCTTACCGCGATATTTTGCAAACTCAAACGCAAAACACAAACTAGTATTCCTAAAAAAAACAGTCCCGGTTCTGGCCACCATATCACAACCTGCAAAAAAATTAACACGATTGTTAGTAGAAACCACAACTAGCCACATAGTCTCCGCTTTAGGGCAATCTCAAAGCACATGAAGCATATCTTCTTCGACATCTCTACAGTGATAGCACATGGAACTCCCAAGATTCATCTTATGCTTCTTATTATTATTCAACAATCTATTATGCTAAAGCAGCCAAATAAAGGAGCAAACCCGTTCTGGAGCCTTGATCTTCCAAGCATCCCTCCAATCTCTAGTTTTATCCTTTGCAATTTCGTCATTCAACATATGGTATATCTCTGCCACTATTAATGAATGTCTGTCACCAACGCATACCCTTCGATCTGGCCCAACATCTATCAAGGGAGGAGGAATACTCATAATTCTTCTAATTATGTCTTCGGGAATCCAAGAACTTAGAATCCCCAGTTCCACTCTTTCTAATTCAAACCCATGTCTGCAACATTCGTCGTCTGGAGGTGAATATGAATTTTAATATTAAGATCCTTGATGCGAATAGTCGAGTCAACCCATTTGTCTTCCCATGCCTTAATCGTACTGACATCTCCAATATCCCAATAACAGTTAGTTTCCAGCAGAGGCCAACTTCTAACAATGGTTTTCCAAAAGCTCCAGTTAATTGGTTTTGCATTCACTTTTCACCTATCCTTATGTCTGCCATACTTACCCCATAACACTTCACACCACAGATCTTGAGTGTTAGTTTGCATCTCCCAGCCAATTTTCATCATACATGCTTCATTAATTTATCCAACTTCCTCAAACCCAAGCCACCTTGAGCTTTCGAAGTAGTGATAGTTTTCCAGTTCACGACATGGTACTTCTTACTAGTTCCAATTTCAACCCAAATGAAGCTCCTTTGAAGTTTGTGGATTGCATCAATACAACTTTTAGGGATAATCGTTATCATCATCGGATAAATCAGAAGAGTCTCAATTACACTCTTGGCAAGAGTGACCCTGCCCATAAAGGCAAGTTGTTTTCCCTTCCAAGCAGTAAGTTTATTACTTACTTGCTCCACTATATAATGAAAATACTCCTTTTTTGCCGCTCTTCCTGTTAACGGCACACCCAGATACTTCCCAAGATTATTAATTTTGAAAAATCCTAATATGTTAACTAGCTCAAGACGATGTTTTCTGCTAACGTTCTTCGAGAAATAGACCCTGGTTTTTTCCTGACTGACTTATTGTCCAGACATATTGCATAACTGGTTTAGAATATTTTGTACACAATTCATTTGGACTTCATTTGCTTCCCCAAACATCAAAAGATCATCAACACACATAAGGTGCTACACTATCGAACCTTTCTTTCCAGCTTTTATCGTTTTCCACTTGCCCTCATCCACTGCCTAAGATATCAAGTACGAAAGCTTGTTATCACACAACACAAACAAGTCAAAGAAATAAGATCTCCCTGTCGAATCCCTCGACCTGGTCTAAAGTATTTAGAAACTGCACTATTCCACTTTATATTTGTTTTAACGCTTGTGACTCCATGCAAAATAAGATCAATCATTTTCCTTTGAAGGTGAAATTCCTCAAGGATCCTCCAAATAAAATCCCAACTCAATTTGTCATAAGCCTTTGATAAGTCAACCTTAATCGCAAAGTAACCTTTCTTGCCTTTCTTGTTTCTCATGCTATGAATTATTTCCTGGGTAATGATTATGTTCTCATGAATACTACGCCCCGACACAAATCTTGACTGATAAGGGGAGATTAGCTCAGGCATGCTTTATTTTAACCTTTCCATATTGTCTTTACTCACAACCTTATATATAACATTACATAACGATATTGGTCTGAAATGCTGGACATGTTCCGGCTGCTGAATTTTCAGAATAAGGCATTTATTAGTTTGATTGACTTTAACTAATTTGTTGGGCACCTCTCAGGCTTTCTTTACAAAATTGCAGACACCGCTCCCAACAATATACCAAGATTTTCGGAAGAACCATGCAAGGAAGCCATCTGGTTCTGGTGTTTTCCACGGACTCACACTGAACACGGCTTTCTTCACTTCATGATCACTGATGCTCTCTCCAAGCTTATTCAACACATCTGGCTCCAGTTTGGAAAGGTGTACTTGGTTTGCTCCCACATCTTAATAGTATCCTGAAAGGAAAAATGCTTTTTGTAGTGCTTAATAAAGACATGTTTTATCTGATTGTCATCCTTAATCCAACAATCATTCTCGTCTTTGATCATCACAATGTTATTTTTTTGTTTACGATGGATGGTTTTGAGATGATAATATTTGGTGTTTCTGTCACCATCCACCAACCATTTCGATCTCGATCTCTGGAACCACATCAGTTCCTCTTTCTTTAGTAAATCATTTATCTCTTGTTGAAGCTTCAATTCTAAACTTGTAAGCCCTCCCCTTCTATCTCGCATTTACAATTGGTTCTACACACCTGCTAAACGCCTCATGGTTTTCCTCTTCTGGTACATGGTTTGACTAAGCGAATTGAACTTCCACTCAGTTACTCCTTCATGAAATTTAACAAAATTTTCCTTATTTGGCACCCTCATATGCTAAATGGACTCAAAAATTTTATCATAGTCTTTTTCAGCCAGCCACGCACTTTCAAAACGGAAGCAAGGAATTTTGGCACTCTGCACATTACCTTTTACTTTAATGATATTGCTTCATTTCAAGTTTTTAACAATACTTTATCATCTTACATAAATTACAACTTAAAATGCTAATAAGACTGTACAACTCTTCCTTCTTAATTATAACATCTCAAATCAAAACTTTCTACTTCCAAAAGTTTAACTTTTTTGTTCCTTTCCATTCAACTGCAACTTCATATTTATTGTCTATTTAATTTTTCATTTTCTACTTCAATTCAATTTCTCCTCTTTTTTCCTCTTCTCTTTCTTTTCTCCCCTTTCTTCCGTCTCTTCTCTTTATCCTCTTTCTTTCTGGGTTATTCTTTCTTTTCTTTCTATTTTCTCTTCTATCTTTTTTTTAAATCAACCACTTTTCTTATTTTCTCTATGTAAATCATGAGCAACACGAAAATGGACAGACGACAACGGCTATAACATTTTCGACAGTGTTAGATATATGGTGCTGGATTTCATAGTGGTAGATCTGTGATGGCAACAACGTGTTTTCGGCAGCAAGTGTGCTAGTGGTAAGATTCAAAATGGATTATGTGTGAGTTTTTTAGTTTAGGTTTTGTTATTAACTTACCCTTCCTTAAACCATAGTTTAGGTTGATTTAATTTTTTTCGTATAAGAAAATGATATTCGTTCTGCAAAATTTGTTCTGTAAAGGTTATAATCTGCTTGTATTTACTTTTTTCTTCTCCTACTAAGCTATATTTGTTCTTATAGTTTATGATAAATTGTTTCAGGTTTGAGAATGTTGTTTTTTGAAACTGAAAAAGTCGTGTTTATCAGCACCTTTGATGCGTTGGAACTGCTCAGAAGGTTGATTTGTCACTTTCATCTTCGTGTACTGGTTTTTGTCTTTTTCATCTTCTTTCATTTTTATTTTTTTTAACTTTACTTGTGTTCTTCTATGTGGTTTGGCACATGTTTATGTCTCCATGTGTGGCGCCTTCTTGACCTAAAAAGGAAGTCGGTAATAGATCAAAACCTTTTCACAGTACAACTTGAAAACTCTTTAGTGAAATAAATCTTCACGGCTTCATAAAATTGGGGTGAGTAAAAATCTCATCTTGATTCAGTTTATAAATTCACTCATTATATTGGAAGTATAGATTTATTGTTGGTTTGTTTTTATCTTATTCATGTAGTATGGAACTTTGCCTCGATTCTGATAGTGAAAAGAAATTGCGTTACATTAAATACTTTCTGCATATAGTGAATATGCTTTGGTACTATAAATTAACACCGGTTGCTGTTTTTTATGGTGGAAATGTTCCTTGCAAAGCAGCAACTGAGAAAGAGAGGAACAAGTATTTCTTTAATTTCTATTTTTTATTTTATGTTTGAAGTTTAAAGATTTGAATCATTTTTTTGATGTTTGCGTGATTTGGTTTGTTTTACAAAAAGGAATACTTATAATGAAGCACAAACATGGAACACGTGATACCAACACTGACATTGGCACATCTACATTGATATCGAAACAGATGCACATTTTTCAATGTCTCACTAACAGTCACACAAGTGCTTATATCGGCATCTTTGTACTCAGTTCTTGCAGTTATTCACTTTTTATGTTTATATCATCATCTATTGTATGAGGAACAATATTTGTGTTTGGTGAACTGCAATGTGAATGTCTAAGATACAATAGGACACAAAGTGATTCATATTGATACCATTAATTAACTAAAATTAGGCTTATATTATAGGATATGTCTATACTAGTGTTGATTTCTGTAAGAAATCATGTGTATTATACCCCAAAATTTGCCCTCCCATTTTTCATACAAGATACAATCCTAGGGTTTCTCGGATATTCAAGTTGACTCAGAAATCGATCAGACAGATTCTCTTCCGAGGCAGTAAATCATCAATTAGGGTTTTACATTTCTCAAATGAAAATGAGTTTTCAAAGTTTCAAATGGTCTTTATGGTCCTTCATGTGTTATCAAGGATGTTTGTGCTAGGTTTCAGGCCTCATGTCGTGAGTTTGCTCATTCAATGGTTCAAGTGACTAAAAATAAATTGCAAAAGTTGGCCTTTTCAGTGTCAAATTCAAACGATTGTAACTTCTTCATTAATCGATATTCTTGAGCATTTCTGTTTGCATATGACTCTCCTTGACGTCATCTCCAATTTATCTTCACAAGTCAAGAGTTGATTATGTGCGAAAGATCATCGGAAATTCGAATATTTTAGAGGTCACTTTCTGTTTCTGACCTAATTTCAGATAATTGTGGTCTGCCTTTCAAGAGTCATAATGTCCTCAATTTTCAAGATCTCGGGACGACTATTTTTGTACATTGTCATGAGCGACGTCATCAACAAGTCATTTTTAAGAATCGAAGGAAATTGTAAAGACCTTGGAGATCATCAATTTGTCATGAGTCATTTTCTTAATTTAGAGTATTTTCAATTTCTAGTTGATTTCTCAAAGGCTGCGATTCTTATGATAAGACTGTCCATAGAATGAGATGTTGAATTCAGAGATTCATATTGAGTTCGAAGAAGATGTTTGTTTATAACACAAGTTGCCATGCCGAAAATTGATTTATGATCTTGTTGAAAATTACTTGAGTTTTCATTTGAATATTGTTTTGTTTAGCAAAGAATTACACGACATTACAAGCTTTTGTCCAAATCTGTTACGGTTGATTCGTGTGGTTGGTTTTGAATTCAAGGTATCAGAGAACGAATTTGCTAAAGTTTCTTCAAATTCATTCAAACTTTGGAATGAAAACATGATTAAAGCTATGTTGTGATTCATGGCTTATCTAAGTCACAATTCTCATGAATCAAATCAATTGTTGAATCTAATGCAAGACTTTTTAAAGCCGCTTTGGAATTCAAGACTATTCAAGTTTATTCAAGAATTCAAGACTATTCAATGATTATTCAAGAATTCAAAGTTATTCAAGTTATTCAAGAACTTAAGATTTACAACAAAGCGTCATTTTTTATTTGAATATATTTCACAATTCTCCAAATCTTCAAAATTCAAATTACAAATGAAAGCCACAATGTTACAAAAGCTGCAACAATACAAATTCCTAAGATATTGTTTTTCTTGTCATCTTCAAGTCTTCATCAAACACGGCAAGTCACTCTTCGTCAATTCTCCCTATCTTCCAATGTGCTCGTACATGTAAACAAAAGGAGAGCATTAGTTAGCAAAATTCATGACGGAATAGGAATAAGAAAATTTCATAGAAATCTCTACATTTTCATCATTAGGGATTGGTAAGAAGAATCAGAAATAAGGGGGGCAATGTTTCATCCATATTTGGTCCATTGCAAATCACAATCTATTAATTGGTTCACAGAGGGCAAAATAAGGATAAATGCAAGTCAAAATCAATAAGTTCATCATGGTTTCAAATACTGCAAAAATAGTTTACATCACAGTAAAAAAGGAACAATCACAAGAAGCCAAAATGCTGTCAAAAATGGACTGCATTGCAGCCCTCCATAGGCTGTCCATAAGAGGCCAAAATCTGTCAAGAATAGCTGCAAACATACAGCCAGAATTGCACATATATAGGCCAAGTCAGAACTGTAACAAAAAGGAGCAAAAGCAGCATAACAAATATGTTCAACCCAATTGCTTTTTCCCCCCAAAAAAGTTTTGTTTTCCAGATGAAGAGTATAAGCATATAACAGGGCCATTCGGGACAGAGAAAAAAGGAGGAGATAATTTCATTATTAAAAAAGAACCAGCAGCAAGAAGAGATACAACAAAGCATACAAAACCCCAAAGGATCTCATCATCATTTTCTTAATACCACCTTTCAGAAAAGAAGAAAATACAGAAAAAGGATAAAAATCAACTTCTCTGTCAAGCAAAAGCCAGCAACAAGGTAAAATCCCTATCACTTCTCTGCATTTATCATGAAACCTCTCATCTGCATATATTCTATTTTTGTTAAATAGTCAGATAAAGAAGAAAACAAAAAAAAAAACAGAAAACCAGAACAAACCAACAAACCAACAAATCGTATCAGTAAAAACCAGTAATAGAACTGACAAACCAGCAAGACAAATCATCATCCAAGAAAGCCAACAAATTTGTCACTATCTCAAACCATCATCATCCAAAGACCAGA